GCAGAGAGCCCCCTTGGGTGCAGGTGGAGGTCAGGCAGCTGGCTCCAGGGAGGGGCACAGAGCACGTGCCCTGGCAGGTTGCAGCCCACCCAACCCCCACGTGCCACCCCAAGGAATGTAGATGGATTGATGGGGCCACAGAGCCCAGCCCGGGGGGCCTGTCAGGGAGCAAGCTGGCTTTCTCCCCAGGGGACCTCATGCAGTGTCACATCGGTCACTCTGCCATTGGTCTCTGTACCTAACAGACGATGGATTGCCACAGCTTCTTATTTTGAAATGATTTTTAATCTGCAAAGAATTGCAAAGCTTCAGAGCTCCCAAATACCAGTTGACCTGCATAGGACACAACATGTTACATAACCACAGCACGTTTGTCAACGCTAAGAAATTACTGTGGGTTGATACAATGCGACTAACTAAAGTACCAACATTAAATTTCATCCGTTTTCCCACCAATGTCCTTTTTATGTTCAATCCAGTCCCGTACACCGCATTGCACTTCGTAGCCCTTTATTTTTATTCTTTCGATGGTACGCCCTCACGTCCGTCTGCTGACTGGGTGGTGCCTGCGGCAGTGAGCACCCGCAAGCCCAGCACCCATCGAAGGGTTAGAGCAGCACCAAGCACGTGCACCCGCCCAAGTGCTCTCCCTGTCCTGTCTGTCTCTCTCTCCAGAACACATGTCCCGAGTTTTGTGTGTACCGTTCTCTTGGTTTGTACCTCCAGAATTTCCAAGCTGCCAAAAAATAAGGAAGGAATAGTGCAATGACTGCCCGCACATCCTTCCCCTGATTCATGAATTCTTAACGTTCTGCCATGGTTCCCTTCTTCCCGCCTCTGTCTCTCTCCTCCCCTCGGACCCCGCCCCATTTGTTTCCTCTCTTCCTCTCCTTTTCCATTCGAAGCAAGTTGCAGACATCTTGGCTCTTCACGCCTAAATATTTCAACCCACACCTCCCCCGTCCCTACACAACAATGCCATTCTTCTTCATATCCCCCATTCTGTGGTAACACTCATGAAACTCAGTGGCTCCCTTTTGTCTAATGTCCAGTGTGTATTCAAACTCCCCAGAATGTCTTTTATGACTATTTCCCCCGTGTTAGAATCATTGTTCACTGGTTGGTATTTTAAATTGTTGTGTGTTCCGTGGCATATAACATTTGCCTAAACCAAAATTGTTTCATTTGCTTTTTTTTTTACTTTGATAACCAAGGTGCCCTATTATACCAGGTTTGCGACTTGCTTTTGTCCCTCGACCTTATGTCACATAATGGGGAAGTGTGTAGCTGTAGGTCCTTTGTGTACCCTGCTCCGTAGTATTCATCCACCTATCATACCACCCTGAAGTCGTCTGCCTTCTCATCCTAGGTTGTTTGGGTTGCTCTGGTGGCCTTGAACATGTTGCCTTTGCACACGTAGAAAAGTTTCTGTTGGATACAAGAAGTCAGAGGCCTAGGCAAGGGCGTCCACCTCACTGTGGTACAGCCATCCTCTCTCTGAGCCTCAGTTTCTCCATCTGTAAAACAGTGATGACAGGATTCCTTGTGCATCTACATGCAGGCCTGAGAAGGGTTAAAAGGTGTCCCCAAGTGCACCTTCTGATCCTGGCGAAGGTCTGGTACCAGGAAAGGGAGCTGTGGTGCAGGCTGCAGGAGGGATGTGGCTCCTCTCCCACCTGAGTGGCAGGCAGCTGTTCCACCAAAGTACATCCACCCTCTGCTCTCCATAGGGCCAGACCCCCCAGGTCTGCCCGAGGCCTGGGCTGCCCAGCCTGGCAGAGAGGGGAGAGGAGGAATCCTCACTCTACTCTTCTGGGCTTCACCCTCCCCTCTAAGCAGCCCTTCCCTTTGCCGCTTCCTCTGTGCCCTGTGTTTATGGTCATGATTATCAGCCCACAGTCGCCATTCTGAGCTGCAGGCCTCAAACTAGGCTTTGATTTCCTGAGAAAGACCAGGTCGGCTGTGGAGGGCTCTGCATTTGCCCCCGGAGAAGGCTGTGGGGCCTCTCCAGGCACCACCCAAGCTGATTGGCTTAAAATTGTGAACCTCCCATGGCCTTGATTTAATGAGCTTGGTTGCTTTTTTAGCCCGGGGCAAAATTCAGTTAGTCCTCAGGCTACAGACAGCAGATCAGGAAGGACGAGACGAGAGCCTGTGGAGCAGGCAGGCTTGAAAGAGAGCAGACCCGGGAACTGGAAGGAGCAGGACGAAGTGGGAGAAATGCCCGCAGGGTGGGGCAGGGGCAGCGGGTACAGGCCACTGCTCTGGGGCAGGTCAGTAGCATTTCTGGTCGGCCCTCAGGGGCAGACCTAGAAGGTAATTCTCCCATGCCCGCCTGTGTGCTTGATAAGAAAAGGGTACCTGATGCATTTTAGAAAACAGTTTACCTATCAAATGAGTAAAACAAACACAAGGGATTAAAAGGATAAATTTCCATTATCTGGAAGAATCTCACATAAAATTTAATTTCCTGAGACCACAGGATAATTGAGGCAGTCTCTGAACACCATCAATGACAATTTGACTTTGATGGCCTGAGACCTTAAGCTTTTTTATGTGATATGATTGGATCCTCCCAACAGGCTACGATTCCCATTTGAAGGGTGTGTAAACTAAGGCCCAGAGAGGTTGAGTGATTTTCCAAATATCACACAGCACTAGGGTTATAATCACGATTGCCTTGCAATCTGATGGGCCAGGGACCTTCCCTGTCACCGTCCATGGGGACCCCCTTCCTTCCCACTGTATATAGGCATTCGAGCAGGTACACTGAGGACACGCACACACACTCCTCACTGAGCCCTAATGATGATGTTTCCAAGTGGAGAGCGTTCTGAGATGTTGCTGCTATCGGCGTCTTCCACAGCCAGCCTAGGTTCAGAGGACCTCAGGTAGCACGGCTTATTCTAATCCCTCAGAATAGGCTAGCCGCCTCAGGGTTCAGAAGGCTAATAACTAGCCTTTAGACTATGGAGTGTAGCCCCCCACCCCTGAAGTGCCAGTCTCCACCCCAGGGGTAACCAGGATGCCAGGGCAAGCTGCGTGAGCCATGGGCTTTGACCACAGTCCACATCAGGATGACTGGCTCTGTCCTGGGCACGTCCAAGCCCAGAACACACACCAATGTGTTCCGATTGGCACATTTTCCTCTGCCTTACACGGAGCTGGACAGGTTGGGGCTGGAGCAGGAGCATGGAGGGGCGGCTTCACCTGTGGTTTGGGCTCCCTTCCGGAAAGTGGGTCACTCCTTTGCCCACACAGCCCACGGAGCTGCTTCCTGTTTCCTCTAAGTACCCAGAGGGCCAAGGGCACGCTCCCCTGCAGGTTCCCGCCCACCCCAGAACCTTCTGGACCCATGTGTTTAACAAACCTAGAATTTACTTCCTCCAAATTAAATAAAAGCAAAGAGGTGGGGAGAAGCTGGAAGGCATCCTTTCCGAGGCCTGACGCTGAGCCCAAGAACCCAGGGAGGACAAGCGAGGCAGGCCTGGCACCGTCCGCCATGGCACATGCTTGGTGCTCAGCAGCAGCTGTGACCACGCTGCACAGGTGTCCCGGACACATCCCAGAGCCACCCCCGTCTCTGAGGCAGTCCGGGTCCCACCCTCCTGACGTCTGTCTGCTCCCACTGTTTCCCAGGTACTGCCCAGGACTCTAGTCTGCCTTCTGCTGGCTGTCCCATTGGTGTCGCCTCTCCCTGTCAGCCACTGCCTGCTTTTGGGGTGCTTTCTCCCTGGGACCAGGCAGGACTCGGAAGGAGAGGGGCAGGAGTAGTGTTTTCTGACGTGTGTTGAGTGCCTGCAGGATGCCTGGAGCCCCAGCATGCACATGCGCCTGTGCGACTGTCCCCTCCTCTGGGAAACCCTCCCGGGTCCCCGGCTCAGTGGGGCCCCCACAGCCTCCCACGGGCCCTGCACTGACAGTGTTCAAACCCGGTGGCTCCCCAAGCGTTCCCCGCTCTCTCCTGCCTCAGACTGCAGCTGTTTTGTGTTCTCTGCGAAGTGCCCAGCACGATGTCCAAGTCATACTGTGCTCATGAAATATTTGTTCAGGGGACAAAGGAGCATGAGCAGAAATGCTGAGAGGTGATGTCGCATGACCCACAGGTCTCTGACTGCCGAGTTCTATACCCTTCCGGGGCCTGGCATCGCCCCTCCCAAGATGAGGAGGCTGCCTTGTCTTGGCCTTTCTCCACCCACACGGCAGGAAGAGCCTCGAAGTGGAGGCAGGACAGATGCCCGAGGCGGCTGTCAGACTCCACAGGGACCTCCAGCAGCCTCGGTTGGTTGGGCTCATCTTTGAGTGCTGTCCACTTCCTTTCGATCCAGCAGGCTTTGTCGAGACCGCCTGTGAGTCCAGCCCTGTCCTGGGCTCACAAGGATACACACTTGGAACTATGAGCTGATAAAGCAAGAAGTGAAAGAAAAGATTAACTTTGCTTTTTATAGACGGGGTGACTGACGGAGGCGTCCATGAGCCCAGGGTTTGTGGTAGAGTGACAGAGCAGAGCTTCGGGGTCAGACACAGAGTATTCCTGGCCCTCGGCAGCTGTGTGAGCTTGGGCCAGTTCCTTAACGTCTCTGAGCTCGTGTGTCCTCGCCGTGGTGAGCAGGGGTCGTGACAGTGTCTGGGAACGCTGCCAGCCACGCATCTGGCCCCCATTGGTGGGACCCAGCCCCCCCCTCCCTGCCCTCTGCCGTCCTGTGCTGCCTGTGCAGACTCTTGGCCACCAAGGACTCCTGGCTGGCAAGGGGACAGGTGCAAAGTTCGGCCACCTTCCTGAAGGCTCTAGATGGTCCTTGGGCCCAGGACCCTGGTCACAGGTGTCTTCCCAGGACGTGGAGAAGGATCAGGTCAATTCTTGCCATCCCGGGGTCCTTAAAGACCCTCTGAAAGGGCCACATTGGGGCCTGTGAGAAAGAGGTTTCTGGGTGCTGCATTTGGGGTCTCAGGGCAGCTGAGGAGAGCCATCATTCCCGAGATGGGGACACCGGTGGAGGATGTTAACCGGATGCCTGAGGTTTGTGGTGTCTCGGGCACCCAGACGGCTGAAAGGAGACAGGCAGGAATTCCGAGATATGGCAGAGAGAGGTTCCAGTCAGGAGTGTGTCTGGGAACAGGCCCAGACGGGCCACGGGAGGCGCAGCCCTGGGCGCAGGGAGCACAGGCAGTGTGGGAAGCTCTCCGTCCCGTGGGCAGCCCCCGGACTCGGGGAGTGTGACGTACAGGCCGCGCAGCAGGTGCTGAGAGAGAGAGCCGCTGCTGGGGGAGGCAGGTCCCACGTCGGCCTTCCAAATGGAAGTGGAACCGATTCCTGTGCGATTTTCCAGATTCCACCAGGAGTTGTTTTTCTCTTCGGACCCATTCTGTCTGTTCTGACCCTTATCTCCCAGGCCCTGGCTCCCTGCCTGTGCCCAGCTCCACCCGCCCCCCACCCCCCTGCCCCCAAGGCCTGTGGTTGGTGTGTGATGGTGCTAAGTGCCCTTCCTGGAACTCCAGCTCCCTCCCCAACCCAGGCCATAAGCCAGCAGGCCGCTCTGTCCCCGGGCCCTCTTCATGCCATCCCCTCCCCTGGCCTCTCCCACACTCCACATGCCCCAGCCCAGCCCCGGCCCTGTCTCCAGGGCTCCCCTGACCTCAGCTGCTTGTGTGCACACAGACCTCCTGCCTGGTTGTGTTTCCCAGCCACACTCCATCCATGACGAACCCTTTACTAGCCCTCTGAGAGCAAAACACTTCGAACCCCCCAGTATTGCCTGAGTCCCAGTTTGAGAAGCTCCACTGTGGGTATCTCGCTCTCCCGTGGGGCTTCTCCAAACTTGCACAGATGGGGCTGAGCACCACAGTTCACGCCCCGAGTCTCTTGTAGGTGTCTCTTCTGGGTGGGTGCTGTGACTGTGTGCCGCCCCTCTGGGCCATGAGACCCTCAGAGGAGGGGCCCTGCCTCCCGCTCTTCAGGGTGCTCCGTGCCTGACACGGGCCTGTGTTAGGGCAGCTGTTCAGAGAATGTGGGAGGGACGGGTGGGGACAGAGCAGGCTGCAGGGGCGTGAGCAGGGCCTGGAGGCACTGCTGCAGCAGGGCAGGGTCAGGGGAGAAGGAACAGGGCCAGTGGCCAAGCCCACGCCAGCCCTCACACCCCCTTGCCTTCCTCTTATAGATGAAGATGACGCCAACAGACTCGGGGAGAAGGTGATCCTGCGGGAGCAGGTGAAGGAGCTCTTCAATGAGAAATACGGTCAGTTCCCCGGGGAGGGGCTGTGGGGCTAGTCTTCCTGGGGGGCCCCCTCCTCCCTCTGCATCCCCTCTGGCCTCTGTTGCCCGGACCTGGTCTGCCTGGGGACGTAGTTGCTGTGCTGGTGACTGATGGGAGCTGATCCTCCTTTCCCTGTCTGAGAAGGGGAAAGTGCTCCAGCCTGTGGGCAGGGTGCAGCAGCGGTCAGCATTTCAGCTCCTCTAGGGCTGCGCTGTGCTGCAGAGGTCATGGCCCACAGCCAAGAACTTACTATGCACACGCCCATCTGCCCAACCAGCACTCAGCCCTGAGGACAACGGAGCGAGTCTGCTCCAGCCACTGGGGGCTCAGCCTGCGGAGGGCGTCGGACGTGGAACAGATGAGAGCCAGGAGATGCCAGGCCCTGTGCCGAGGCATCCAGGGCAGAGCCTGGGATGAGACAGGAGTAGAGTTAACAAATGATACGGCACTTCCTAGACTTTTGAGTGCCACCTGTGCCAGGTACTCTACATATATCACATTGTATTTGTGATTAATTTAGTATTGTCTCCATTTTGCACTGTGGCAGAGGAGACATGGCAATACATTTTTTACCAAGAAGAATTTCAGAGAGTGAGAAAGGAAAAGAAGAAACCCATAGTGTGACCAAGAATGCAGGAGAGAGTGTAGTAGGTAGAGGGCCAGGGCCTCTCTGGACAGGCGAACAGGAAAGTGCCTTGAAGAGGGGGCATTGTAGCTGAGGCTTTAATATCAGGAGGGGACCAACATTGGAGGAAAAGCTTGCCAGGCAGGGGGAGCCGCTCTGCCACTGGGGACCTGTGAGAAGGCTGGAGCAAGCAGAGAGGGGGGCAGGCCCGACGTGAGTGAGGGTTTCACTCTGAGTGTGCATGGGAAGGCTCTGCTGGTGGCTGGTGCTGTGGTCTGTTTCACTTTTCATTTTGGGACCAGTTTTCAGACATAAGGCAAAAGCACAGAGAGTGAGGGACATGCGCCCACCCTGAAACCCAAGCCCAGCTTCTGTGTTGGCCATTGGGCCGGTCTTCCTCGTTCCATTTCCACACACCCACTTCAGTATTTTTAGTGCTTCAACGTACATTGAAGACATCATATCATTTCATCCATAATACTAAGTACTTAATTTTTTCTAACGTAAAAATAGTGGATTTTAGGCAGATATCAAGTCCCCATTTCAGTTCTAGGTGTGCACATTGAACAAATCATCACTAAAATGACAGGAACTGTTTCATTATCAGCATCGGGTATTAGATTTTTAGCTTTGCTAATTGAATTTTTGAAGCTGTGTGTGTGGTGGCCCTGGCTGGTGTGGCCCAGTTGATGGGTGTGGTGTCCCATGGACTGGGAATCACAGGTTCAATTCCCCATGTGGGTACGTGCTGGGGACCGCTGACCAGCGTTTCTCCCTCCCATCCATGTTTCTCTCTCTCTCTGCCCCTTCCCCTCCCCCTAAGATCAGTGAGCATGTCCTCTGGTGAGGATAAAAAACATGAAATGTGTGTGTGTTGACTTTTATACTGTCTTTGGGATGTGACGGCCGCTGTGCTGTGCTCTGCCAGGCTCCAGCCCTTTCCCAGAGGGCTTGGCCTTTAACAGCAGACGTCTCCTTGCCCTGGCCCTTGTGCCCTCCAGGTGAAGCCCTGGGCCTGAACCGGCCAGTGCTGGTCCCTTACAAACTGATCCGAGACAGCCCAGACGCCGTCGAGGTCACAGGCCTGCCTGATGACATCCCTTTCCGGAACCCCAACACGTACGACATCCACCGGCTAGAGAAGATCCTGAAGGCCCGGGAGCATGTCCGGATGGTCATCATCAACCAGCTGCAGTGAGTGTCCCCAGCACCTGGGGCGGGGGGTGGGAAGAGCGGGCAAGGGCTGTGGGAGAGGACTCTGCCTGGACCCAGGAGGAGAATCCGCACAGCAGGCCCAGCCAAGAGCAGGGGGATGGGGGAGCAGTGAGAGACCTGCTGTGCACTTGCACGGGATCCAGGAGATGGGCTAGCTTAACGCTGCCATCTTAACGACGAGAAACAGACAGCCAGGCGGATGAAAGGGATGGTGAAAGTCACAGTGGGTCAGCTCGGCCCCCGACCCCGGTCTCTCCCACTGTCCAGGCTGCTAGAACAGAATGCCATCAACCAGGCGGCGGTGCAGAAATGTATTTCTCATAGTTCTGGAGGCCGGGAAGGTACTGGCAAGTTCAGTGTCTGGTGAGGGCCCACCTTCTGGTTCATAGATGGCCACCTTCTCCCTGTGTCTTCCCATGGTAGGAGGGACAAGGGAGCTCTCTGGGGTCTCCTCTGTAAGGCATCAGTCCCATTCATGACACTTCCACCCTTGTGACAAAATCACCCCCAAAGGCCCTGCCTCCTAATACTGTCACCTTGGAGACTGGGTTCTACATAGGGATTTGGGGCGGGGGGAGGAACACAAACATGTCGTCTGTATCACCCAGTGTCCTGATGACAGTCCTCAGCTTTCACGGTGTTCATTTAAAATTTTTAATTCAATTTGACTTTCTGACTCTGTCATTCATTCTTACCCTTTTTAATGGTATTTGGAAAATAACAGTCCTCATTGAATACTCCCATCACCCAGAGGTAACAACTGCATATTTTATCTTTATCTATTTTTGTCCATATTTTACCGTATAGCCTCATAGTCTTTAAAAGAATAAATGGAACAGTTTATTTATTTTCAGGTTTAAAAAGAAACTAGGGAAATCCAAAAAGGTAGAAGAAGAGAAGGTAGCCCATAATTCTCCTTTTCAGAGTCAACATTATGGTGTGTGTCTTCCATATTATTCCCTATGTGTATTTTCTTCTTAATGTTACATTAGATGTTTTGAGATTAAAATAATTTTGCATGTCTAAAAATAATCAAATCATTCGGAAAGGTCTCGATGAAGAGCAGAGGTTCCCTTGCCCCCCTCCGCGCCCTGAAGTAGCCACTGGAAAGTACAGGACAGGAGGGAGGAAGCGCCCGCCGCACACGGGCGGCTCCCGGGGCAGCTGCCGCCGGCCTCCCGGGGCTTTCCCTCCACGATTCCAGGTTTCTTCTCCTGCCTCTTAGACGCGCTTTTGGAGAAAACAAAACTGAAACCCCACAGTATTTATCCATAGACTAAATAAAACTTGATGTGTCTCCCATCTGGCCGTTTTGATTACACTTGAGTGTTATTCGTGTCCGTGATAATTCTGTTTAATGACGGTAAAGATGGAGAGACATGTTGTCTCTACCAGTGGACATTGGGTTGCGTCTAATTTTTTTTTTGTTCATGTAAAGAATACTGCAAGTAAAATAATGAATAAAAAAAGAAAGATAACATTTGTTGCCCTGACCAGTATCCCTCAGTTGCTTGGCCATCACCCTGCAAAGAGAAAGGTCACCAGTTCCATTTGCAGTCAGGGCATGTGCCTGGGTGGCAGGTCCGGTCCCCAATCGATGTTTCTCTTTCTCTTTCTCCCTCCTTTCCCTTCTCTCTAAGAAAAAGTTAATGATAAAAATTTTTAAAGATTTGTCAAAGAAAATAATGCCACAATGAATAGCCATTCACAAATCTAGGCGCTCACTTCTGGTCACTTGGTTAGACCACATCTCACTTTGGAGATGAGGGAAGAAGGCCCCAAAGGGCAGTTCGCCTGGCACGGCTCTCACAAGGGCCAGACTGGCCATCATCGGCCCGTCTGCTCTGGGAAGAGGGCGTCTGCTGGCCATTGTCACCCAGGTCTTACTTGGCTAACTTAGATGTCCATGTTCAGGGAGCAGGTGGGAACAAAGAGAAATCCTCATCTTCTAACTGCCACCTTGTTTCTTTTTCAGACCTTTTGCAGAAATCTGCAATGATGCCAAGGTGCCAGGTAAGTCAGAGGCTGAAGGAGCCACACTTCTGTCTCTCAGGGACCAATCTGCGGACATATAACAGGTGTCACGCAACAGGTGGCTGGCCACCCAGAGTAGAGTATATCCCTCCCACCAAGTGCCTCTCCAGGGAACCTAGATTTCCATGTGCAGAGCCAGTGTTCCCAGGGGGCCCCAGGACCCCCGCACGTGCCCTTTGGAGGGGGGCCCTGCCACAGCACAGCTGAGCACGTCAGATCAGCCAGAGAGAGGATGAGGGACAGGCTAGAGCCAGGAGGAGGGGGTGTCGGGTAGGCTCATGGATGCGACCTGAGGAGAGAACAGGTGACATGTGACTGGCAACGGTAAGGTAGGCAGGCGCGTGTGCCCCCCGAGACTGGCTGGGCCCCCTGGATTCTGCCTGCATTTGCAGGGCACGTGCCCGCACCAGCCCCCAGCCTTCAGAACCTTTCAGTTCCTGGGAGACGGTCTGATTGAGAAGGTGTGCGATACGACCCCAGAGGGTGTAGCCCTGGGTGATTCAGAGGGGCACCCTCATTGTGTAGCTGGGAAACTGAACCCCAGAGATGGGGAAGGACTTGTCAAGCCACATAGTGAGTTGGTGGCCACTTGTAGTTCTGTGACCACACTGTCCATCTGAACCACAGGCCACTGGGGACTGTAGGCACCAGAGCGGCTACTCAGCGGGAACAGTAGTGGGGTTCAGCAAAGGCACCCCACCCCAGCCAAAGCCTGAGGTCCCAACTCCAGACAGGTCCGGCTTCCTCTGAATCTTCACTGCCTGGGGTGCACAGCCCAACCAGAGACCACCTCCTCCTATCACGTGCCAGTTGAGGGGGCCGGGCTGGGCACCAGGCACTCAGGGTAAGGAAGTGACTAGGTTGGGAGCTGCTCTCAGATCAAAGGCAGAGTCACAGAAAGCCCCCAGGAGGCCTCAGAGGGGAGGAGAATTTGGGACTAATTATCAGAGGGTAAATGCAGTCACATCCACCACTCCCCACCATGGCTGTCTTTAAGGTCTTATGGTGACCCAGGTGGGTCACAGCCCTGGACCAGCCTGTCTTGCATCTTTAAGGTCACCTTGGTACCTGTAAACGGAAAGATTCTGAAAGCCCATGGTCTGGTGCAGGCATGTGCCGTGCCAACCCAGGCGCAATCCAGGGGCCCAGCCAGTGGCCAGCAGCTCCCGCCTGCCTCCCGCAAAACTCCCTCCTCTATGGCTCACAGCCTAGGCTCCCCCTGCTTCTAGAGTCTTGTGTCCTGGGGTCTCTGTTTATATCACATCACAGACCCCCAGGTTCTGGTTTTTCCTCACCAGCAGGACAGAGAGTTGCCCCTGGGCCAGCCTGCCCTCGCACCCTGTTGTGAAGACCCTGCTGGTGGCCTGGGTGAGGTTTCTACTCAGCAACTCCCAGGCCCCACGTATGTAGCACACCGCTGCAGATCTGACTTCTAAGTCTCACCTGTTCACGTGACTTTAACTCAGCAGCAACAAAACCCCTGCTGAGGCCTGCTCTGTGCCAGACTTGGTGCTGGGCTCTTGTGCACACACAGTCCCTTCCAGTCTCACATCACATGGCTTTCCCGTTGTGGCTCCAAGAGCTTTGTTGGTTTTCCAGGGTCATGCAGCTGGTAAAGGGCAGCAGTGAAATTTGAACTGAGGGCCTCTGTCTCCAAAGCGGAGTTTCTTTTACCCTGGGACACTGCCTTGTCTACTCCAGTGTACCTGTGAATGTCATGTCACAGCAGGGCCAGGTGAAGGTCATTGTGCATCTGCAGGGACAGTAGCAGTTGTATCGATAGCAGTTCTCAGTTCCCGAGTATTTTCTGGAGGCGGGGCACATTATCTCAGGGGACCCTCCCAGCAACCCTGCAGAATCTTACTGGCATTTTACTGGCGGGGAAAGGAAAGGAAGCCAAGTCTGTGCGGTCTGTGGGGCTGTGGAGGCGGTGGTCTTCCCCATGGGCTTCTGGGCCCCAGGGGGAATCCTGGGAGTTCCGGGGAGGCCTGGCTGGGGGGCGAGGCTGTGGTGGTAGCAAAGGCAGACAGGTAAGTGGAAGCAGGAGGTGGACGAACGAGCTGCGGGGCCTCGTTAGAGAAGGAGGCTGGAAAGATGGGCCTCAGCTTGTGGGTTGGGAGCCTTGACTGCCCACAAGGGGACTTTCAACCTGAAAGTGAAGGTCCTCTCCAGGGGTGTCCACAAGGCTGAGACACAGTGGCCTTGGCATCCAGTGTCACCAACCTCTTCTCCCAGCAGCCAAGGACAACAGCATCCCCAAGCGCAAGAGAAAGCGTGTCTCTGAAGGAAACTCGGTCTCCTCTTCTTCCTCGTCTTCCTCTTCCTCCTCCTCCAACCCAGAGTCTGTGGCGTCCACCAACCAGATCTCACTTGTGGTAAAGTTGCACAGATCTGGACCCGACCACTGTTCTTTCTGGCCTTCGCCCTGCACTCGGGCAGGGCTGCCCACCGTGGGGTGCAGGTTTGGGGTGCGGGGAGGCACTGGACTCTGAGTGGGCTCCACAGCCCGGGGTTGCAGACACAACTGCCTGATCTACCCGCAGGGTAACCTGCCCTCTCGTCAGGGCTTCGCAGATGCCCGGACAGAAGGTCACATCCCCACTGGGCAGGTGGGCAAGCCAAAGCTGAGAAGGGGAAGGGACCTGCCCACTCTGCTGGGCAGTGTCAGAGCAGGACGCCAGGTTTCCAAGGTGGTCAGATGCTAGGCTCATCTCCCCACTCACATCTCACACAGCAGCCCCACCACAGCCCTGGGGTGTGTGGGTGCTGCCCACAGCATGTGGGTGAGGAAAAGGAAAGTGGGAGGCTGACTGACTGCGGCCTCAGTGCGGTCCCTGGTGGGCGGAGAACCCATCTGCAAGGCTCTGCCTGTGCTGTGACGTGGCTGGGTTTGCTTCTTTCCCACCCGTACACTTGAGAGCTCTTTCTGATTTCAAAATATTAGCTTTGAAATCCTGAGTCCAAATGGGGAGAATATTGGAACACACTTGGAAAAAAATTTTTCTTGAGGTATAATTGACATACAACATTATATTAGTTTCAGGTAAACAATATAATGATTCAATATTTGTACATATTGCAAAGTGATCACCACAATAAGTAATTAACATACATAGCTGTCAAGTTTTTTTATTTGTAGATTTCAGCTTTTCTTTATCCTTTGACCACGTTTCCCTTGAACCCCTTCCTGGAAAAACCCAAAGTTCAGGCTCTGCGTCTGTCCCCGTCTGGCTGTGTGAGTGCCCACAGAGGGTGACTGGTGCAGCCCCAGGGAGACTGACAGCTTCTTGGAGCATGAGACCTTGAGGGGGCTGTTCATGGGGGTGACCACCCGTTCTGAGCCACTTCCCCTGTTCCCTCTGGCCCTCATGTCTGGTCCACATTAGGCCCTGGGCACAGGTGAGAACAGGTCAGAAGGCTCCAGCCCCACCCAGCTCCATGGCTACTGCATGGTCTTGGGCAGGTCACGTCCCCTCTCTGGGCCTTTAGCCGCCTCAAAATAAATAGCATCTGAGGAAGCCCTTCAAAAGCAGAGCTAAGTGTTCTGGTGTTCTTTCTACGTCACCTGGAGTCCTAACTGGGACCCTCTGTCCCCCTCTCTCTAGCAATGGCCAATGTACATGGTGGACTATGCCGGCCTGAACGTGCAGCTGCCGGGACCTCTGAATTACTAGACCTCAGTGCTGAATCAGGACCTCACTCAGAAAGACTAAAGGAAATGTAATTTATGTACAAAGTGTATATTCGGATATGTATTGATGCCTTTTAGTTTTTCCAATGATTTTTACACTATATTCCTGCCACCAAGGCCTTTTTAAATAAGTTCAAAAAAAACAAAAAAAAAGCATTGCCTTTGCTCTTGACTGTTGCGGCGTCTTCTCTTTTGGAATTGTGTCTGCAGGTGTCCTAGGACGAGGTCAGGAGACCCACCTCAGGTGGCCTGCCAATGCCCTCTTTCCTTGCCAAAGCAGTGGTGGTGTCCTTGACCACTGGGCCATGGTGTCTGAGTACGGACTCAGCTCATTTCTCTGCTGCTGGGTCCATGGGACATGAGGAAGGGGGCCCCAGAAGGCCAAGTGCCAGACTGGCCCCCAAGGGCACCATGAGGTAGGAGGCTGTCTCGGCCCCAGTAACTCAGGTGAAGTCAGACTGGTCAAGTATGATCATCAAGCGTGGGGTCTCCAAGGCTGGAGGGAAGGCGTTTCGGACAAAGGGCTTTGGGTTGGGCCTGGAGGGTAGGGTGGATTTTTGATGGAGCTCAGGGTGTTTGAGCAGCAGAGTGATGGGGTCACATTTACATCTCAGAAAGACCACTTAGGTGGCAAGTGGAACAGTGGCAAGGTAAGACTCCAGGTAGAAACAGAAGTCACTGGCACACTGGCGGGTGATAAGCATGCCAGCCAAGGATCCTGATGAGGAAGGGCAGAGGGCTCTGAGGTCACAAGGCAGGGTGACCTCCCCTAGTACAGAATCGGGAAACCAGTTCTTGAAGCGGACTTGGTGGGACCAAGTGGGGAGCGTCGGGGCAGGCAGTGCTCTAGGTGGAGAGAGGCACAAGTGCAAAAAGTCAGGGACTTTGGACAGACAACGCGGGCATTCCAGGAACAGCAAGGAGTCACCGGAGCAGAGAGCCTGAGAATGGCCGGAGGTGACATGGAGGGGTCGGTGGGGGCAGTCAGCAGGCTGTGGACATGGCGCTGCGCTGAAGGAGGGAGTGAGGGCGCAAGTGCAGGCTGGGTTCTGCTTGCCCAGCCCTGTTCTCTGGGGCCGGGATTCATCCTTTTCCTCACAGACTTATGGAGTGTGGGGGTGGGGGAGCCATGACCAGAACCACATCTTGGAAGGGTCTGTCCACCTGCAGAGAGGAAGTAGCCTCCCTGAGAGAAGCTGGAAGAACCCGTGGGAGGCTCTTACATTTGTTCCAGCAAGAACTGGCAGTGGTTTGAGCCGGTGGAGGAGAGTAACAAGGTCAGCCAACAGAACTTGAAGGTCAATTGGTCTGGAGTGCTGGGGCTTGGAGGGGTCAGAGTGACCACAGGATCCTGCCAAGTTTCAGCAAGAGGCTTCAGGCTTGGAGGAACTGAGTTCTGAGTGGGCTAAGGGCATGATCCAAGCAGTCCAGTAGCTTCTGCGAGCCCTCTGGGTCACCTCTGTGCCCAGATCTGGGAGGGAAGGCTTCCCAGCCTTCCAGACTCTGCTTCCTCCTGGAAAGATGATGGGAAAAGCCAGAAACCACAAGCTTGGCCTGCCCCACCCAAACCGTTCCCCTCTAGGCTGGAGCCAACCCCTCCCTCCCTCAACCCAGTGGCCCAGTGCTTCCCCAGAACTCTGGGCTCCATCCTGTGGTCCTTGCCCTGGGTCAGGTCTCTCTCCAGACCAGGGGAAGGTCAACTCTACACTGACCACCATCCTCAAGGCAGAAACTGCCCATGGAAACAAGGCCAATCTAGCTGCTGACACTGTGCCTTCAGTCCCTCTCTCCTGGAACCCATCTTTCCGCCGTCTGACACTGTCTCTCCCCGAGTTCAAAACCTCCGTGGGTTTTTAATACCCCATAGCACCGAGTTCAAACTTGTAACCTGGGCGTCTCAGGCTCCTCACTGTCTGTCCCCCATGCTGCCTGTCTGTCATCCCACGGTTCTGTCCCCTTTCTTCACGGCTGCCACCACCCCGCAGTGAGTGGCCGCAGCCTGGGCATCGGTCTGGCCACGGGCCTTGGTCCCACCTTGGGTCCCGCAAGCCTCCCGGTGGGCTGGCACCTCTGGATGTCTAGACCGACCCTGGCCTCCTCTGCCCCGCGGCTCAGATCTGTGCCAGAGCCGGAAGTGGCTTTCCCGGGGCTGGGAGGGTGGACCAAGGCCCGCCCAGCAGGGCTGTTCTCCCGGGAGCTGCCTGGAGGGGGGAACCCGGATCCAGTGACGCTGAGGCCTGTAGAGACTCCCCCATCTGTCTCCTTTCACCCTCGCAATGCACGTGTGCAATTAAGTGAGTTGGTGCAGCAAACCTTCTCACTCTAGTGTCCAGCCACATTCTGTGGAATTACAAGGGGATTCTCCCACCCCAGTAGAGCTCTTGAACCAAGAGGTGACCTGTGTTAGGGTCCCCTCTTTTCCTGAGAGCTCTGGGCTTTGCGAGGTGTATCCTGGCAGAGGGCAGAGGGTAGGGGAGGAGCTTGGGGCCCCTGGCCGCCTGCCTTCTTGCTTTGCCCAGCCCTGATCCACTGGAAACGCTTCCCAAGTATTTCCTCGCAAGCACTCGCTGCTTTTTGCAGAGCAGCCCAGATGCTGTTTATGCAACCTCTCCAGAATCTCAGTGTAGTGTACTTTTTAAAGTGATTTGATTCAAAGCACTCATTCTTTAATTAAACTTCATTTAGCTGCCATCTGTCAGGGTTCAAAATGGCTTCGTGTTTTGCAACTCTAAATGAGAATTGTTACTGGATTTGTAAACACATCCACAAAAGAAAATCACAAAACACTTTCAAAAGTAATAAATGAGGAATGTGCAGAAGAAGTGTAAGGAGCTGCATCTTAAACATCCTAATTGCCGGGGATGCATTCTGGTGGGTCGGTAATCATTTTATATACAAATCTTTGTATAAAAATCTGGTATCAAAGAAAAGATCGAGATGATAGAAAATGCGAGACTTATATGTGACTGAAAACAGTAATAAAGCAATAATCAGCACAGGGACAAAGCTAGGGTGAGGCAGGTGGGGAGGGGAGGGCTGGGGCGACAGTGGGGGACAGCGGATCTCCCTGCACCTGCTCCCGTTCCGAAGGCTCCCTCACTGCCCAGGTGCTCACCTTCTGCAAAAAGGAGCTGGTTGATCCTGAGCCCCAGTAGGAGGGGCTTCACAACAGCTCAGTGGCTTTTTTAGTTTTTTTATGTTTTTAAAGATTTTATTTCTTTCTAGACAGAGGGGCAGGGAGGGAGAAAGAGAGGGAGAGAAACATCAATGTGTGGTTGCCTCTCACACGCCCCCTGCTGGGGACCCACCCACAACCCAAGCATGTGTCCTGAGTGGGAATAGAATTGGTGACCCTTTGGTTCACAGGCCAGTGCTCAATCCACTGAGCCACACGAGGCAGGACTGTTTTTATCATTTTTTTATACTTTCATTAAGAAAAGGTTTTGCCATAACTGGTGTGATTCAGTGGGTTGGGTGTCATCCCGCAGACCAAAAGGTTGCAAGTTCAGTTCCCAGTCAGGGCCCATGCCTGGGTTTCTGGCCAGGCCCCCAGTTGGGGATGTGCTAAAGGCAGCTGATGGATGAGTCTCGCTCACATCAGTGTTTATTTCCTTCTCTTTTTCCTCCCTTCCCCCTCTCTAAAAATAAATAAAATATTTCTCCCAAAAAATCATCAAAGTTTTATTAATGATAGTCTACTGCCCCTATTGTACAGGGTCCCCTTCCTCCCACCTGGCCCAGGAAAAAAAGGAGAAAGAAAAGATGGGGAGGAATGATAGCCCCTCTTTTAAGCCTTATGTGGTGGTTCCATGAAAGTGAATTTTGGGGGGAAATGACATGAACTGCGTTTCAGTGGGGAAACTGAGGCTCGAAGACAGTGCAGGAGCAGGAGTGGACGTTCATGTGAACGGCCTCTGGGCAGGCAGTTCTTGGGACACAAGCGCCACTCTTGTCGGCAACATTCTGGGTGATCGAGGTTCAGGGATGCAGAAGTGGAGATTTCGGAATTGAGGTGTGGATCAAAACAGGACCCCAACAGCCCTGCAGGTGTGGCTCAGCTGGTTGGAGCACTGTCCTGTCACCAAAGGGTTGCAAGTTTGATTCCAGGTCGGGGTGCGTGCTGGGTGGTGTGTTGGTTCCCAGTCCAGGCATGTATGGGAAGCAACCAATCCAAGTTTCTCGCACATCGGTGTTTTTCTCCCTCCCTTCCTCTCTCCCTAAAGCAAGGGGAAAACATTCTCAGATGAAGAGTAAAAAACAGGACTCCAACAACCCCAAGACTCCACACGACTGGGCCTGTGCCCCATGCTTCTCTACTCTCATTTCCTGGGCCGTCTCCACAGCACTGCCTGTCACATGGGGCTGGGCGCCCTTCGCCCACTTCCTCAACACGGCCTCCCCTTCCCAACTCATGAGGCGGCTCCTTCCCGTTTTACCTTTCACCGAAATGTCCCTGAATGTCCTCTCCTCCAAGAGGCCTTTCCAGAACACCCAGTCTAAAACAGATACCTCCACCTCGTCAATTTTCAATTCATCTCCTTTAAAAAATATATTACTACCATGTGCAATACTTTCTTTTCTGTGCAGTTATTTTCTGTCTGTCTGTCTTGCTTTATTTAGCTTTGTGATGGCAGACACAGTGTTCATCTGCTTGCTGTTAGAGCCTCACCACCTACCACAGACACAGGACACGGGAGCTGCTCGCAAAATGTGAGCCACGTGGATGCCTGCATCAACCACACCTGTGTCCACAGGGCAAATGAGTGCTCCCTTAAGTCTAAATCCCTCCACAATGATTCCAGACACCGTGCCCCTCCCCCCCCCCCCCAGGATCCATGCAAAGGAAACCATGACAGGTGCCTCTGCCTGTCCTTCCACTGTTAAAGCTTGCTGTCTTTACTGCTGGGTAAGTGTTTGGACTCCAGAAGCCCTAGATTTCAACATCAGTGTCCCTGAGACAGCCCACCCAATGAGACAGGGTAGGAAGAAACTAGGAGAGTTCCTTGGCAAGTGGAATAGGGAAACCGAGACAGCTGAACACAGTGGCAAAGCAATTTACAGCCAGGTGCAGGTCGCCTCCCTACAGATAACATCTAGGCCTCAGTGGTATTTCAGCTCCAGGCTCAGGAAGCAGCAGAACCAGGTGCAGGACACCAGGACCAACTGCAATGACTAAACACCCTGCCCTGGAGCCGACCAATCAGTGGAGACCACAGCCCAGAAGAGACTCACCTGGAAAACTGATCAATATTCTACTGAAACCCTCGCCTGAGACCTCCCCTAAGATTCCCACCTGCAAGAAAAAGAAAAGCTTCAAGATAATGAACCCAGCATGTGCTCTCCTTCTGGGGAATATACACCGCCTTCCCCTTCTTCCCCCACTTCTTTCCCCACAGGCACGCATCTCCCTAAGCTCCAAGGCAACGGGCAGCAGCAGCTCGTCCCTGGCCGAACCCTGGAACCTGTCCCCAAAGCCCCTTTTCTCTGACTTCCCAGTGAGCTAGGCAGCTTAGACGAGGCTCTCCTTTT